ATTGCAAAAAGTCCTGTCCTTGGTGCTGAACACCATACATACACAGATATGAACTGCCGAGTTTCAAAAAAAGGTTGAACCATGTATACGTTTTTGTCACCATAAACCACCTTATTATCTCCCTACATTAGCGTTACCTACTCTATCTGTCAGCAAAAATCATTCAACCTGTCGACGCTGACCTAAAAATGAAATCGTTTTTGCTCGCCTGTACCTTATGATCCTGGCCATTCTTCACTGTCATCCCTCAATGGATTCAAGATTCCAGGAGATAAAATATCTTGACCCAAACACTTTTAATACTGCTCTTCCAGGTCGCTCACTTCATAACATTCAATCACCATGAGACAATCTTGAATTGTGTTCTCTTGAAATACATTGGCTGAGAAAGCAGCAGTGTCCAGATCTTCAAAACTCAGTTGTCTCTTTCCCCGTGATACGCGCAAAGTGTCGTATCTCATCGATGGAACAGAAGGTGATAAAATATTCATCCGTTATCAGTGTGTTTATTGTCACATGATCCTCGGCTGGAGGCCGTGAGGAAGTCGTGGAAGCGGCGATGGCTGCCGGGATAAGCGGGGTCGGTGCGGGGTTAATTGAGCAGGTGGGAGCGACTTACCGGCCTGTTCGGGGACTCAGAGAGGGGGAGGGAGGTGACACAGGGTTCGATGTGACCGAAGATAGTATGCTGTAGCGTGGGTACCATCCTCCATGCTTACTACCGTGGCAGCAAGCGAAAACGGAGAGCCAGCGGTAGCTACTGATGACAAAAGGAAGTAGCCTGGTACCATTATCCATCTATATCCCTATCTATCTTTAAAATGATATATGACACGTGATGGGAACATAGATGAAATGTTATTTGATATAAACAACAGTGCGTATGCGTAACGTTTTCAGCCCTGACTGCATCCATTGTGCTGAAGCCATTGGAAAATATGCATTCTTTGTAAATGGGTTAAAATCTAGGTTAGTTCTAGATCCTTAAAAAGTGTTTCATGCAAATCCGATATGTCCCATATGTTTGCCCTTTGCCTCTACCCACACAACACTACTAATCACCTCAGGCGAGGGGCATTTCCTCCGGTGTTAATTTGTGGAAAGAATAAATTAAGAAGTCGCGAATTATTTCCATTCCTTTTTGTGTCCCTGTAAGTCTTGGCCCAACTGATTAGATATTCGGAAATATTTGCATTCTTATCCAGACTAAGACGGTTTCTTGCGAGTAGGAGAATCTTTTATTTTAATAGTCGTATAATGTCAAAATCATTTCAAATGTATTTTCTTTTTGTTTCCTTGTACAATAATAGGGTATCCTCAATACACAACTTTAAGCACCACCTAAAGTTAGACGCAACGAAGACATATGGTGGGTGTCCATGGTACTGAAAGATAAATTATTCTGTTTCTACGTTTGTCTGTCGATTCCCGTCCAGATTCAGTAAGGTTTGAAAGGCCAGTTACTGTTTCAAGATACGGCAATATGCCAAATTGGTGGAGTTTGCAGTTTTCTGAATTTTATCTACAATTTTATGTAGACTTTTACCCGATAAAATTTATTAGTCTTCCTGTAGACCCACAAGAGTTCCTCGTTAATGTAGGAAGCTATTAGACAGCCCCGAAAGTGTGACGAATTGGGACCTTGAGTTTATGTACTGACGCACAGGTGTTTTACTATAGATGATGCATTGGGAATGAGCTAATTAGTTGTTTTATGGAGATGTCGTATAGCACAAATGATAGATTAATACATTAAAAAATTGCTACATCCCAGAAGATGGCATCAAGAAAATGTCATACCAATCACATTCGATCATGCAGCTGAGACCTTTGTTTGTATTTGTGTAGTCAAGGGAGTTGACGTTCATTTTAAAAGAAACTTTTTACCTGCGTGTACGGTGGTTTTGGTTTTCGGTGTCTGTTTGTATGTGTTGTCGTGGTTATTTTCACATGCGAGGCACGTCGAGAACGCTGAAAGGAAGTCAGGCCAAAGGTCCCAGGTTATCGAAGAAGTCTCATAATTAATCAAGGAAACTCACATTGAAAGTTACATAAAATTCTAAAAAAAGCCATTGCAGGCTATGGATAATGGATGATATGCTACGAGTGTTTTCCCAGCTTTACGATTCAGCTACTCGTAACAATCTGTTTCTAACTTGTAGATAAAGTTTATCTAAGGTGAACGTGAATGAAAATGAAAACAAAGGGACAAGATCAATCAACATAATTCGCTTTGAAAAAAAAAACTACACATGAATTCTACAAAGCCATTACAAACCGGAAGGGACACATGCTGTGGATGTTTTCCCAGCTTTATGACTGAGGTATTGGTAACAATCTGATACCAGCTTTGTCACCAGTATTGTATACGATATATGTGCCTCAAATACCCGGACTTATAGCAAAAATCCCTCTCAAAGAGCCAACGAAGTTCATGGCTTAATTTTTTCATCCTACAGCCTTTTGATCTCATTGGTTACTATCCCGCACACGAACGATCCACATCAAGAAACAAACCCTTGGGTGACATTGTTGGACCAGGCAAAGTCTCTCTTGATGGAGACAAATGACCACCTCTCGACCTTTTGGTATCTTTTCTACCAGACTAAACGTGCTCCTTTTTGGCTGCAGCAGTTCGCTTGGGATTTCGTTTTCCCCACAAAGTATCAACCACATTTAGCTATCACCCAAAAGTTTCCTTCTTGATGTTGATTGTTCTTGTGTATGATTCTGGCGTACCCAACCGCAAGGGGCCCATACTATACCCTTGAGGGATATTGGGTCTTGAGTGATGGTATCTGCTGCACATTACGCCTGCAAGAAAACACGGGTAGCGCTTAGGAACACAATACGTCAATCTAACATAATCCATTACTGGGTCCTCGGTGTTCGGAACAAACCTGAGAGAAAAAATGCTTCTGTGTATCTTTTAGGATCGGTAAGCCCACAAGATCAAACTGCTACTGTGTTGTATCCTGACACTTCTTTACAACTTTTATGCGGAAGTTGTTTTAAGTATCCGATCCATAAAATACAGTCCCACATGACCAACGCTCTATAGCAATTAAAGAGCACCGTTTTCATCGTGTGTAGAAACGCAGGTGCTTTTACGTTTCCAGACGTCCCGAGGCGAACTGCCTTTCGCGAAAACTCTTTGTTTTTATCAGTCAAACAGACAAATTGGCGACGCACTCAAGTTAAAGTAACTTATATCAGCACCCCCATCAATTGTGATAAGAATTAAACCGTAAGTAATAAACAAAAATATATGTTGTTAAATGAATGTATGCACTTTAAAAATTAACAATGCGATCTTGATTTTTACAGAGCAGTGAAACAGAAATTGCTGGTAGGACACGGGTTAAGTAATTTGAATCACAAGCTTGTTAAAGGCAAATTTGAGGTAAACCCACATGATGACATGCGTCAACAGCTAAACCGGAGATCATATCATGACCCCCCTGATGAATATGTTGAGTTTGATCTAGAGGTACTTTTTTCAACTCACACCCTCTACCTTGAACAATGTACCTTAAAGAGGTCAGCCACGATGAAACTTATGCCCCTACAGCCTGCGGAACATCCATCGCAGTAAAGTATGGGTCAAGTGATGTTTAAGTGCGGATATGTCAGACCATCAATGTTCAAGAAATTGATCTACTCTGGTACTTATTATAGTACAGACAGATTACGATTTTCATCCAAAGAAGCCTTCGTGTCTCTTGCATCACCAGGAAGGGACAATGTTTCGCCACAACACTGTTACAACGTACATTGTAAGTCCCTGTTACGCATTCAGGACCTTCCCTTGACTTTGCTCTCGGCCCCTCCAAACCAAGGCCGTCGCTGGAATCCATGATATTCTAGCTCCAGTCCACTCATTGTGATTGTATCCAAGCAGAATGTGACTTTCCCCACCTTGGATTGTCAAAATATATAGCAGACTGGTACAGAATTTTTTTTTAATTTTAGAAAAAAGACTAGTAAGCAACCTCGCCGACAACTCCAACTACAGATGACCTCGCTCACGACTCCCAATCATGGTTTGGGGAAGTTGGCCATGGTCGGCTATGTGTGACAGGGGCTTTTAAATGACCATCATATCGGTTGATCAATTTTCACACTCCACTCTCCACAATCGTATTGTATCAAAACGTTCTAGCTCACTTGTGATCAGAGAAAAAAATCTCACTCAGAAAGTTTGATACACATCATTTTATTCACATATATTACTGGCTCCGTTGCCATCCGTCCTATTTGAAAAGACGCCGCTGTTGTACTTACTTCATGAACTATAAGAGATAACTCTGTCTACTCGAGGGACCTGAAGTTTCTATCTTTCTGAACGTTCCACTCAAGAATATAATATCCATACTATTATTACACTCTGGTAAGGGTTGTTATCAATTCTCAACCGTTACTTTTTTACCATAGTTCTTTTTTTTACCATAGTGCATTAAGTACATTTTATATTATCACAGTATACAACGTTAACAAAGGTCCTCAGGAATTTTGAACGACAGAAAGTCTGCCTTTTGCGGTTTGCCTATTTGTTTAAAAAAAATGACGAATAAGACGATTGGGACTCCCGTATTATTGATTTGACTTTGTTTCAACAGTGGTTCGCTATCCTCGGAAATTCACAGGTGATTCAACCCAACAGTATATCATCACACTGCGCTCGGTTCTACCTTAACAACCAATTTACAGTAAGTGTGTCGGAATGCCACAGAGCTTTATCTACGTAATGGTCTCTAAAGTACAGCCGTTTTAGTTTTTTAAATGACGTTGGAGACAAAAGACGTATCCATCACGCTATGCCAATCCAATGTAGAACTCCTACTCCCTCAGCTGGTGGTTTTGATTTTTTTCCTGGTTAAGAAACAGACGGTAGTCGTTGATCACCGGATGTCATTCCAGTTCAGGTTTCATCTGTAAAAGAAATACATGTACATAATTTTTGTAAGTCAGATTTTTCACCGCTGAAAGTACGTATACGTATCTCTTTATTCCTATTAGAAACTGTGTGTTTGCGCGCATGTATTTGCTTGGGTCCGCAATAAAGTGATGGGATATTTGGTTACCGCGGGTACCGTAGATTGACCTTAAGGTCACGTTGGTAGACTAGGAGGAATCATACCCACTCATAGGGCGTGTCGGTGCAAGCTCTTGCAAATGATGACTAATTGACTGATTAACATATGCACACGTATCCCGGGTATGCCATAAAACACCTGTGGCACCTAAGTTGTATTCATGTATGGCGAACTTGTGTCCACAGGGTCAAGGCCTACTCTCCAGCTGCTAACCTCCCCTAGCCCCCATCATCACACACGGTGGGAACACACCTCAGTAATCCACCGACCTTTCTACCCGTGAAGCTAATCAAAGAACCTGGACTGGTGCTTTGGCTGTTTGAGAATTTTGTTCAAAGATACGGAAGCTGTATATAGTGAAAGACAGTCTTTCAAAGATACCATAGTAGCCTACCATACAGCCGACATTGATGTATGCAGTAGACTAAGATGTTTGGCAGTGACTAGGAGTAACATATCACCATATAAACTTCTGTTATACTCTATTCCAGGATTTCTCTTGAAGGGTTCAAGTAGTACATTCAAGTACATATCCGCATGTGACAACCCAAGCAATGTACATATTACACAATATTTGAAGAAATGCCTAAACCATAAAATTTCCACCAGTAATCTTAAAAGCACACTCTCACCCCCCCTCCACACACACACTCCATAACTATTTAGCAATAACTTCATTTCACTTCATTTCATATATCAATAACATGGCATGCAATGTAATGAATGCAGTGCCTCTGTGTTCTTCCGTTTGTGCCTGTACGTTAACGTTGGCAATCAACTTACATAATGCCGTTCCAGGTATCTTCGTATCGTTGGCCAGAGACGCTCAAACTTTGCCGCCACCTCATTTTCCAACTCCACCTCCTCGTCATCAGTCCTCTGGAAGAACAGAAGATGTGAAATGTCTGCCCGTTCTGCTAGGTCTTCATCATCTCCGCTTACAGTGATTTTATTTCTGATATGTTTGTCTATTTGTTTTTTGCTTGTGAGTCTCGTTGCTCGTTGACACCAAGCACAGCTGGGAATCATAACTAGCTTTAAACAACTCTTGCCTAAATGTGCAACGATTGTGTGTAACAAGTCGTTCGGTGTGATGTAACGTTAGCTAGCTGCCGCCGCGCTGCCTGCCTGCGAAGCTGGTGTATCACGCCGAAGGGCGGTTATACCAATTATACCGATACAGATACAGAGTACGTAGTTATTTGTTAGTTATAGTCACAGAACGTGAGAGGGGAAATGGTGTAACAGAAAACTGACAGGAAGGCCGAATTGAAGGTCAAAATGATCTGGGAGGAAAAGTGACAGTGGAGTATGCGCAGAATCAGCAAGAAATTAATGATAATGGACAAGACAAAATATCACAACTCTATCTAAATACATCACGGAGATATTTCTCTTGCGTTTGTTAAGAGAACATCCATCACGAACATTGCAACAGTTTTCTATCTTGTACTATCTCACATTCCTTATCGTCGACTCTTTCCACTCCTTCTGATTCCATCCATCATTGTGGCAGTTTCAAAACGTTACAAATGAAGCATTCCTGCAGAAATGCAAGATGGCTACAGTTTATGACTTCAGTACAAATCGTCCGGTAAAGAAGAATGAAATTCCAAAAGTAATCAAACGATCTGAAACTTCTTAAAACAAAGTAAATATTGATTCTCAGATGGCCTGACAGCCTCTTTAAAAAAACGAAGAAATTAAAAAAACAAAGAAAGAAGAAATTAAAAAGAATTGATCCGGATTCCGTGGCTAAAGGATATGTTTCGGTCACGGTTGGCGATCGCAGGCAGGCAATCCAAACGAGACCGCAATCAAGAGATAAAATCGCACGGCTGTAATGACAGCGAGACTTCCTGGCTCCAGTCTTTGAAAGAGTGATAATAGTTCAATCGATGTGAATTAATGTGTGTGGGGGAGGGGGTGTATATACACGCATCAAAGTCAGTTCATGTTTTAATTCCTTGTGTACTCTCTTTGTATATACTTTATACGGTCTGGACTAACAAAATGTGGTCGCCAAGAACATGTACATTTGCAACACCCTATGCATGTAAGTGAAGCTTTCCAGCCTACTGACTACGTTCCCATCGGTAAAAGTTTGCCAATCTCCGAGCAGATCCTTTGGTAGCCAATATAGTCTGTATCCAATAAGCAAGGCAGTAGCCAACAGGCTACCGGAGATTGGAAATCCGGAGGTAAGAATCAAACTAGACACCAATTAATGTTAACGTCAACGTCAAAATTTTCATTTCAGAAAACGCATGAGTGATATATAGCACGTACTTGTGAGGACGTTTTGTATCTATATCTTGTCCCGTGTGTTCAGGATAACGGTGCACAAAACCACGATGTAACTCCACAACTTTGACATGATAGGTTTGGAAATAACAATCGGAGCATGTCCATCGCATCAACTTTTTCCAAGTTCATTATTAGCCTATCGATCATGTATAAATCCTAATCAATTAACACATTGACCAGGCGAGTAGGCAGTGACTCTCTGGTGGGAACATTACGCGGTTGATGTCACAAAACAATCTTTGCCCTGGCGCCAGACTTCGTGAGATGGACGATGAATGGGTCAATATGCGTCATACTTGATTTTGTAATATATATAATTACGGTTGGATGCGGTTTGTGGAAAAAAAGAACAAGAAATCTGACATTTCAGACTTCTGGAAAGTATGTAATCGTAAACTTTCCGAATCCCCCCATGTCAACCTCTAATTCATGCTGGCTCGCCAGCAGATGTTGAGACTCTGACCCCCTGTTATTCTGCCTGTAAACCTTCCCTAAACCCGCGCGTGCTGTCAACCTTCTCCGTCAGGACAAACAGATCTAAATACACAAATCCATAGCTCAGTCACTCAAATTGCAAAAAAGAATGACAATCGCGATGACAACATTTTTTCAATTTGTTCGGACCCAGAATATGTTTTGTTGGTTGTACGAAGATGGGGTAATGGAAGACTTTCGTCTGATATTGGCAAGGTTTATCTGCGTTGGTAGAGTCGAATTCGAACTTTACTCCAACTAAAAACACTCTTTCTGCGAGATGAGGAGGGCATCTACAACAGAGCAACCAGGAAGGGGGGCGATATCGACTTCCAACAACCTTTGACACACTGCTGACGTAACAAGTGTATAAAGTCACGTGTCTTGGGCGATTGGGTCAGATAGCTGAAGAGGACTGAGTGATTCCGGTGAGTCCAATCTTTTGCGTTGGCGAAGAGCTCATTAACACTGCTTAGTGGAAAAACGTCTCAACGGCATTATTCAGAACTCGATAGTATAACTATTAGTACAGCGAGATGCGTTCACAGAATAGACGTATATGGCCTTCCGAATGCTCTGGAAGAGTCGCAGGTGGTCCATGATAGCGATTGATCTTTCTTAACGGCAATTAGCACCAGGTAATGTCTTCCCACTCATAGCGCCTCTCAGTGGAGAAATTCGTCCGTTAAATCCACTAGTAGTGAAAACACGACCTTGGGGCTAACGGAGCGCCTATCAGTTCTAACGTATCAGCCGCTGTGGGCTAGTGTGTTTCAACAGCCAGCTTCCCCCCAGGACGCAACATTTACCGTGAGCCCCCATCGGGACACCCGGCGTTTTTATCATATAAAGTGATTTCAAATCCTGATTAACGGTTGGTGCCTACCGCTGAGTGTGTCTCCCCGGGTTAGGCAGTGGGCGAACCAACAGTTATGTGTTCACACTTGAGATGCTCGTAACATAAGACCCTACTGCTGCTGCGCTTCTGGTTTGGACAGGTTAATAAAAAAGGCTCGCTGAAACATGATAGCTGCGATTGGGCCATAATATACCAAGGTAGTAAGTTGTTTTTTTTTTTTGCTTTTATTTCTCCCCCCCCCCCAATCCTTAAGTACAACAGATTTCAAGAGACCCAATGGCCGAAGCAGATTGAATATGCTTTTAGATGTCTCTCGCAATGCAAAAATAGCTAAATACACGAAAATTAATTTCTTATTAGAAAAGACACTGAAATGCACACAAGCCCACCTGATTGTAACAAGATATCGAAAATTTTACCGTTATTGTTTAGCAAGCAGCATTTCAAATAAGCTAGAGTTATTTTATATTTCTATTTTGTAGTTAATAGTTGACCATTACGAAAGTCACTGTTGCGTCAAGAAAGCTTCCTTCTGTATAAAAATAATTGGTTCACAGTTCGCGCGCCAAGGGAAGCTATCAGGTCACGAATCTACCATCGCCTTTGCGAAGAAAAAATAGTGGTGTCATGCTGGCTTAATTGTACATCTGCTATCGTGTCATCCGATTTGACTCGCGGCATGGCTGTCGTTCGATACGTGCCCTAAAATGTTGACAAAGCAAAATCGTCACGAAATTACGATGAAAACAGCAATGGCTTATAGTGGTTTTTATTACAGTACCCTACGGTACTCATGGCTATAAACCCATCTCAACTTATTTTAATCAATTCGACCGTTGTAAAATCGTGCGTTGCGTGCTTTTCTACCTCTGACGAAGACTTCGTGTCACGGAAATACCATAACATGTCAAAGTTGTTACTTGATGCAGCAGGAAACGATGAAGATCTCTGTAGAATTAACGTTTGTCAACACCTTTTAAAAAATTGCAACATAAAAAAGAAATGTTGCTTTTTCAAGTGGAATTTGGGCATAACTATACTGGATTGGTTCGGTCAAAGAGTTAATACATGGCCTCTTTGGAGTTAATGCTGCGTATGTTTATAAACGACCCATCAGGAACAGATACCAGTATTGATGTTTATGTTCAGGTCCGCGCCTGCACCTGTACCTGAACAAAGAAAAAGTTACATACAGGTACAGTACCGGTACATTGATATTCAGCTATTTTGAACATGATTTTTGCGGTACTGTACTGGTACTGGGTATCAGATATCACTCTACAAAACATCTCAGTGTTTCTCTGTTGGGATAGTTATGAAAGAGTTTTGTTATGCATGTTTTCAACACTGTGTAATCTCGCACACCCGAAGATACTTTAATCAAAAGGTTCACCTTTCCACCCCGTCACTTTCCATCCAACCATTCATACATCGAGAAGAAAATCTCGACGTCCAATTGCCTTCTGGCATTTTCCTGCATGTCTCAGTGTCCTGTGTGCTGTCAAATCAGACTACAGCCCATTCGTTAGACATGGCGTCTCTTCCAAAGCTTCTATAAACAGTTTACATCACGAAAACATCTCCGTAAACCAGTTTCCTTTTGTCCTATTTACGTTCGTGGTAGTTCATGAGTCTAGTGCATCTATACTGCCTTCTTCTGGGCGCTTATTCTTGTTATAAGTGTCGAACAATTCGTGCAAATTCACACACAGGTGCTTCAAAGGATCATTTTCTTGACTGATTAGGACCTAACAAAGCCATCAATTAGGATTTGCGGTGAAAACAAAACGCATCTGAAGCTCATTTTCCCCAGGCGTGTTACAGACTGCCCAGGATCATACAGCAATAGAGGGTTTCATTTATGTGTCATGACAAGCATCAACAAGGGGTTGGCGAAGACACTAAGCC